TTCTTGCTTAGGTGCAATTTTAATTGTGACCTTGAACTTTGATATCAGTTTACCGGCAAATAAAATTTGAGTGTTAATTTTTGCTACCAAATGTGAGTTGAAGCAAGTTCAGTTATTGGAAAATTTATCAACCGGAAATTTTTACAGCAAAAGCACTGAATTAAATTTGATTTTCGCATGCTTTAATAGAACATCGACGAAAAGTAATAACCATTGCAGTGGTGATGAATCCTAAGGATGTGTAATCAGTTGCGTAACTTTTAATATATCAAATTGTCATTTAGTGTCCTTAATAACGATGACGACGATAACCGCTTTACGTATACATGTAAGCGTAAAAAAATTAATTAAACAACATCACAATGCCAAATCTTATTTTATTTATTATTATGCGCGTCATTAAGCATAAAACATTTCAATGACCACTTTGGACTCAACTATGAAGTGGTGAATAAGCATTAATCAATCATAGTACATATTGATAATCGTACAATAGCTATGTACTATGTATATATGTATACCAACTATCGAATCAACCATTTGAAGAGTTTTTCATTCAAAGTGTCATATAAAAATTTTTGCTCCTAAACAACACATTCAAATTGACCAATTTCGATCTTAATCGACATAAATAGCTCTCAGTTATTATCTATCTCTACTGGAGATTAGATACAAGTGTATAACATGTGCAGGTATGCTATACAGGTAAACATGTATGTGTAAAATCAAAATTGAAATTCAAAACGCTAAACAACAAAAATTTACGCCACTATTATGATTATTTAGCACTTTAGCTCTAAATGGCGGTGCTAATGCGGTTATTATATGCATACATACATATCGGTGAACTTTTGCGTAAGTAGCTTTGAGGGCGGCAGGTGCAGCGTGAAGCTTATCAGATATTATATTACCAACTGTATTAATGTCCATATGTACTAGTAGTAAGAATTTGATAATATGTATGTATAAGTACATATGTACGTATTTATACTGCGTTTCATAACTATAGCACATCAGCTAAGCTGCCCTTGAATCGCCATAAAAAAACGTATGAAATGCCTTACAAATCGAAACTGAAACCCAAATGCAATCTTTTATCTCTCCCGATCTGATCATACTGTTTTCAAACTCATCCTGCCCCCATTAAAGGAATGTCGTTATAAAACATATTGATACTCCCATTCAGGTGCAGTGGTTTGCGTTTCAGAACTGTTACACAAATGCACTTTAAGTGAAAACTTGACTGCTATTTGTGCTGAAACTAAAAGGTTGGGAAAGAAAGCGCAAGTGGAATTTTGAAGTTGTAGAATTAAATCAGTTTTGAAATCCCCAGATTTCGAAAAAGGTTAAGGTTAATAAGAACTATGAAATCTTGAAATAAAAATTTTAAAATTAAGGACGTCTATAATTTCTTGTAGAATCGTGAAATGTAATACTTGCCCATTCTTACCCCAGAAGTTATTATATGGCGATACAAGAGCAGCTTAGCTGATGTGTTGTAGTTATGAAACGCACTTTATGTGTGTACATTTACTCCATAAAAAATAACTATATATATATATATATATATATATATGTATGTATATATGAGCGTAAAGAGCCATGAGTATATATGTAGTATGTAACTCTGTGTGAAATTTAAGTGGATTGTGATAAAAATTAAAAACCGCTAAAGCGCTCATCACCTTGCTGTTTATCATCATGAATTAAAAAAAAAACGCAATTCTATTAACTAATGTTATTAAGCTTTGGCCATTAACATATTCACTAAAACCGCAAAACCGCGTTTTTTTGTTTTGGAATTACGCTGTTTGCGTTTATAATAAAATCGATATTAAATTTGCTCTAAATATTGCACTGTTTTATCTTACTGGGTTTTTTCTTGAATTCTTTTTTTTTTTTTTAGTTTTGTGGTGACATTTCTTTTGTAAAGTCCCGTCACATAGAGAGTCAGTGGCAAAATCAAATCGATGTATCGAAATCATCAATATTTTTCTATAAATCGGAGTCATACATCGATGCATGGATTTTCATAGGGTCTTTCAGATATTACTTCACAACAAATTAGCAAAATGCTACAAAATTTCCAATGAATTACTATAACTGAGCTAATAAAGTTTCTATCGGCCTGTTGGATCAGGTGAAACACCTTTTACTAAATTTATAGAACTCATAAAACTTTAACTTTTATATCATCAAAAATTCTACTTTAATATTCAGGATTTTTAGAAAAACTCTAAATTGCAGGTCTAGTGTCCATTTCTCGGTTTTCTCGATGCATATAACTTAAAACGTAATTAAATTTTATGTGGAGAAAATGTGGCGGATGATCATGAAAAAAGTGTTAAAAAATTTTAATTACTAAAGCAAATTGCTTTATTAGTGAAACTTAATCTGTGTGAATTTTTCTAGAAAATTTTTTGCTCAAACTCACTTCTCTTTTTTGCACAATGAAAAAGCGGAAATGGCGGTCCAACATACTCTATAGATGTCACTTAAAAAAAAATCAAGTAATTTTTAGCAAAAAAACCGACTTCAACTCTCATATAAAAAACATACATATATATATATATATCTCATGATCCACTGATCGGATCTTAACCAAATTAGTTTGGGACCACCTCGAAATCGGTTGACTAGGGCCAAAGTTATGCGGTAACATACATAAAAAAAAAATAATCTAAATAAATAAATAAATCAAAAAAACGTCGGAACGAACTGATAACCTCCTCCGTTTTTGGAAGTCGGTTAAAAAACATCAATACACCGATACATGGACTAAATATTTATACATCGAGTGGAAAATTTTCGATGCTCCGAAGCAAAACAACGTTCTTTCCGATGCATCCATGTTTTCCCGACATCCCTACGTCAGCAGCGACATTCTCAAAGGCACACCAGATGTTTCCCTTTTACTTAGTTCCCCTTAAATAGTCGACTTGACACGTAATAATGACATTCTATGCAGTGTAGTGCAAAGTATGCATAACTGGACTATAAATCATGGCGTATTTAGCTTAAGTGTTAACGCAAACAATGTTTCATTTATTTTAACTTCAAAATTTGCATAAGGTTCAAAATCCTGACGATGGAGGCATTTTCTTGCCGTGGAAAGCTGTGTTCGGTGGCACCGACTTCAGAATGCTTTATTATGTATTTAGGAACGATCTTCGGCATTCCTTGTAAAATTTGGTTGAAAGACACTGAGGATGGCACAACACCAAAACCGATTTGCCTCTGTACCAAATTTGACAAGGGATGGCGAAAATTAAATCCAAAATACATACACCGTCTTCCTACGCCGTCAGAAGAATCGACCAATAAAAATAGACTTAAAGAATACTTCGAAAAATAATAAAACCATAAACCACTACTTTTTTTTTTGTTAGGCGCAAGACTAAAAGGCAGCTAGTATCTTATCAAAAATTACTAGAGCACAGAAACAGAGAAATACTACCTTCAATGAAAGCGACAATCGTGTCGATGTTTTTTTTTACTTCTACAAAACTTTTGAAGTATACCGCAACACAACCTCCTTCAATAGCTTCAATTGTTTCTTTGATGTCACTACGATCGGTGCATATGTTTTTAACATGAACCGATTACGCATTTGACTAAATTGGTATTTTTCTAAGTTTAAGGGAATTATTAATTAATATCTAAAATACTTTTAGAATCTTAATGGAACCTTTTCGCCGAAATTCGATTATGTTTGCAGAGGATATTGCGCGAATTTATCGACAAAATGCTCTCTAAGCTGTTGAAGTTAATAACGACGATTGTTGGCCATTATGTTTGAACAAAATGTCTGCATTTATTAGTGTCGAATTTTGTCAGAAAGTACCGAGCATTAGTCAGGATTTATATTTTTAAATTTTAAATAAATATTTATAATATTTATGTATGTGCAGTATCTGTTTAATTGTTGCTTCTTTGGAGTGACGAAACTTTTAAATAAAATTTTATTTCAATTAATACCTGACTTAGTAAAATGACTGATTAACAATAGTCCATTGCTTGCAAGAAATATGTATATACATACATTCAACAATTTATCTTTTATCTAAAATTAATGACGTACACACAAATTACTAAGTTCTTTTTTATTCATGTAACTATTACGTAACAATTATTTTTTTATCATTGACGACGACAACATATCTTTTCCACTGAATATCAGAATGTACTTATCTACATATGTTTGTATATCAAGAATGATAGAATACAAGATTGCGCCGACCAGAGAGGATTTTTGAGAATAACTTTTGTGTGACGTCACACTGGTGCAATTGCGAGAGAGAAATGCCAAAACGTGAGCAAGAATGGAAGAAGAAGAAAAAATGTTGCAAGGAAAACGTAAACAAGTTGCACAAGTGTGACGTCATGCAAACAACGATTCTGTCAAATTCGTTAAGAGAGGAATAGCGGTCCGAGATCGGCGCAACCTTTGTATTCTCTCAATCGTGTTTGTATATATACACAGAAGTGGAATTCGTGGAAAATTCTATTAGAATGTGTATGAAAAGATTCATAATTCTAACCGGAAGTGTAATTCTTCCGATTATGGATGGCCTCGGTGAGAGGTGGTACATATAAGCTGTCTCCTTCTAACCGCATTTATTCAAGGCAGTTGCTTGTTAAATTGAAGAGATTCAATATAGCTCCATTTTCGCAATATCTACCAGAAAACAATTAGGCCTAAAAGCTTGCATTGTGGTCACGGCGGTAATGCCTTTCTGCGGATTTATTTCTTTTCAAAATATATCTGTGTTCGTATGGAAAAGTAGCTTATGTCGAAAGGCTGGCTTTAGTAGAAATCAGCATTCGCGGCATTATACTAAAGCTAGCTCCTCGACATAAGCTACTATTCCATACGAACACAGAATAAAAACGTAGCTTATATGAAATAAGCTGTATCGATTTAGAAGGAGCTGTCGTTGAAAAGAAAAAGTCTCTTTGTCATGAAAAGCATTCCAGAAAAAATTAATAAAGTAAACATTTTACTATTAAATTATTTTAGCACATCTGTGCAACTTTCTACTCAGACATCAGTCATCAACTGTTGAGTAGTCATTGGCCTTTTTAGTTGCTCAATTTTATCTTATCGCACGTAGTATGTAAGAAATGTGAAGCAAAATGAAAACAGCATTGATAACACGTACACAATTCTACTCAAATGAAGTAAGTAGAGTGATGATAAGGTGTGATTTCTTGGTAGCAAGTGAATATCAGAATGGTCAGAATGGCTAAACGACGGAAAACGGTAGATATGTCTTTAGTACGATATTGGCCATAATGTAATGTGGAGTGCGCGCATTTTTGCTAAAAACCAAAAAAAAAACATAAAAAAGGAAGAAAAAACAACAAAATTCGAGCGTGTGTTGCAAAACGAAAGTGTTTCGTAAAAGCAGAAAAAAAACACAAACGATAGCATAAACGATAAAGAAGGAACTGGAGAAACTACGTCAGTTATTGAAGCTTACGTCTGCAGAATAAGCATTTTGAAATTTTCGACTTTTTTTTCCTTTTTCGAATATAAATATATTTCATTGCAATTTAATGCTTTCATGCAAAATAAGTAGACAACGAAAATGTTAGGCACCTTCAGTTCAGTGGCACCATATTTGAAATTCAATCCGAAATATGTGATCACCGACAATTTCGTATTTAAATTGCATTATCGCTGGTCATTCATTATCCTGCTGGTGGCCACCATTTTGGTTAGTTCGCGCCAATATTTTGGTGAACATATAAAATGCATATCGGATACAATACCAGCGCATGTGATAAATACCTATTGCTTCTTTACGCCCACCTTTACGCTGGTGAGTGTTGCACGCATGCTTGTGGGCAGTTTGTACCAAAATGTGTAGTAATATTTTGCTACCAATTTAATTAGGTGCGTCATCTGAATAATAGCGCTTTGGATAAAGGTATCATCTTTCAGCCTGGCATTGGGCCAGAGCAGTCGCAAAATGAGGAGATAAAACGCCATGCTTACTATCAATGGGTCCCTTTCGTACTCTTCGCTCAGGCGATACTCTTCTATATACCACACATTTTGTGGAAATCATTTGAAGGTGAGCAATCTTTCGGGTGTTATTTATTTGATGCAACTCACTGCACACTCAACAATAAAACTATATATTCGATTTTTTATCGTAAATACTTATGTACATATGCACTTTCTTCTGTATTTTTTTGTTTAGGCGGTCGCATTAAGGCACTCGTTTTCGGTTTGCGTATGGTCGGTCTCACGCAATATATAAAGAATCAAAGTCTGCAGATTGGCAAACTGAATTTACCCTCCATGGAGGAGGCGGAGTCGCGTGTCAAGAATATTCGTCGCGCCATGATCGATCGTATGCGCATCAATCAGTCGTGGGGCGCTCAACTTGTTCTTACAGAAATTCTCAACTTTTTAAATATCTTTCTACAAATTTATATAACCAATCGTTTTCTGGGCGGCGCCTTCTACACTTTGGGTGTGAAAGTAATTCAAGAGCGTTGGACAGATAAAATGGATGCTCTTGATGTGGTATTTCCAAAAGTCACCAAGTGTCATTTTCGTAAATTTGGTCCAAGTGGCTCACTACAGATGCATGACACACTCTGCGTCATGGCGTTAAATATTATCAATGAGAAAATTTATGCCATTCTATGGTTTTGGTATCTGTTTGTTTTGGTGATGACGATATGCGGAATGGTTTGGCGTTTGTGTACATTTCTTTGCTATAAAAAGTGAGTATATGAATACAAATATATGTAGTTTTTTATATGGTTATTTGTGTGTGTGAACACAAAGTTTGTTGCTCTTTCTTCTTCGATTTAGTTCCGTGTTCTCATGTGGGTTTTAAAATTTATCTTCACTTAAAAATTTGATCGGATCAAAGTTTGTGTTTAAGGGGCAAATAAATTTTAAAACCTACATATATACATGAGAAAACGGCCCTAAGAGACTTAGAATTTTTTTAACTATACTCAGTGGACTGAGAAATCACTGTCATATTGAAAACAAAGCGGTCAATATTTTTTTCAACTCAGTGAGACAGCCACCTGGACGAAGGAGGTCAGGCTACCGCTGGGCATTCACGTCGATGGCGAACCAATTTCGACTGTGAATAATCCAAAAATACCCGTACCCGGAGTTACCTACGATAGATTCATAAAACAACCTATGGACCCAACAGTATACGAACAGAACTTCGTCTGCTTCGGGAGACTCGCACCACCATAGCTCAACTTCACTCTGTATACTGCAGCAGGCTAAACTTCTACCTGCGTAGGATAAATGCAGATGTGCGCAATAAGTGACAGGCATGCGCAGAGTCACCTCAAGACTCTCGGCACCTCTTCGCATGCACTTAAACACCACTCAACTAACGCCCCTCTTCCTATGGACGAACCCAGTTGGAGTAGCACGGGTCTCCCGTTTGTTGAGCTTGACGACAACGATTGAGGGACACGTCGATCTAGGCAGGGCTGACCCAGCAAACGCAGTGATTTTTATTAGAATTCTAATTCGATATCGAGAACTAAGTCCCCTTAGAACTCGAACTATTCGAATTCGAATCGTTTCCTAATCGTTATCTAACATAAACGTTTGTTGGGAAGTAACCGCAATGGGAGTATAAATGATGAAAAAGTGCTAGAAAAATACCGCGTACTCGAAATAAATTTCAGCAAGCGGCTGATACTTATTTATTCCCCAAACCACATCAGAAGTGAAAAAGGAGTGAGTGAACAGCCGAACTGAGATGACTCCAACTCATGGTCTTCCTTTCCATTTCATCGGCCAGCAGTGCGCTGAAATATCGGTTTGGCCTGGAAACCACATATGTACATATATGAGATTAATACTAATTTATGTGATTTAATGCTATCAACAGACAGTTAGGCACTCCCTGACTGTTTACGAAAGTGTCATCAAAGATCCAAGGGCCATAGTTTCGCCTGGCTATTAGAATAGATGCATACATTCTTCTTTTATGGCGGCTATCAATGCCTGGAAAATACTGCGGTTATTTGGTAGCTTAAACTTCAGGATGATGGGGAGTTTCTCGCCAACGACACCCCCTACCCTTCAACCCAACTTTGATCCATGCGAGAATAAATTTACGGGGTTAGTGTTGGTTGATTCTTCCGTCAGGATGAGAATACCATTATACTGTATTTTGTTCGAAATAAAAGAGGTTCGGTACTGTGTCGACCTCAGTCTAATTAGTCGTTCGCTGAAACGAACATCAAGTTCAGTAAGCCTCGATTGTAAAGATGGCACCCCGCACAATCTTCGCTTGCAGGAAAATGAAAGCTCTCTTTCGGCCCAGCCAGCAGCGGTATGCAATGGTCAGTAAAGGTCAGGATGAATTCAAAGCTTTATAGAATGCCGAATGCCAGTAGTTAGAAAACCACTTATATCCTACGATTCTTAGCCTGACCGCGGCGGGGGCAGAGACAATTTGGTCTCGAACTGCTTGTCTAGTGCGTTCCACTAAACGAGCAATAATGATGTAGACGTTAATAGAACACATTAAGTCTCTCATGTTCAAATATTCATTAAGTCGCTATTTCATGTTTTGCTGATATTTCTTTGCATACATGCATATTCCATACGAATCATTATTTGTTATATATTGTAATTTACTTCTCCGCTTTTTCTTTCATTTTTCAGCGTTCGTTTTACAAAATTCACCTTCTCTCACTTTGCAAAGTCTGGACGCATCGACTACCAAGAATTGGCGGCTGTTGTTGAAAAGTGCAATTTCTCGAATTGGATGTTCTTATTTTTTCTACGCAGCAATCTCTCAGAGTTCATATTTAAACGCGTCATTTTTCACTTGGCCAGCGAATTGCCAAATCCTGAGAAGGACAACAGCATAAATGATTTTTTGGACAGAGAACATTCAGCAGTTGCTGCTGGGCCCAGCGGCTTGGCGCCTACAAGTAGGCTAGATGATGTCGATACACCTCTACTGGCCAACAGGGATTGTGCTAAAATGGATTAGGATTTGTATTTAATATTGTCTTCTTCGATTGGAACTAAAAAAAGCCTGACCGGCAATTTATTTTACTAAAGCTAGCATTTATTAAACTTGATTTTTTTTATTTATTTGTACAAAATTTTATTTTACTTGCTTTCCAATAATTTATGTCAAGCAAGTAAGTACTTAAAAGTCAAAATTATGTTATGTATTACTGCTAACTGCCGTGCGCAGAAGTGGAAAACTTTTGACTGCCATTCACCTGGGAGTGGCCAGAAGCGATTCTTGTGCGTACGGTTCAAATCGCAGCTCACAACGTCCGGATATTTATATCCACGTATCCTCTGGGTAGCAACCAAACATCCATTTGGGAGCGAGCTAAAGTGAGAAGGCGTAAAACTTCGCGTGCGCTGGGTTTGGGTCCCGCCACGTTAAAACCCCGCCCAATGAAAAGAAAAAAACAGCCTCGGATGAGACCTCCTTTTTCTGATGACGACCACGGCAAACGTATAAAGGACTATGATTTAAGGGTATGCACCTGGAATATCCGGTCCCTTAATGGGGAAGGTGCCTCTGCCCAGCTGGTTGAGGTCCTCGGGAAGACAAAGGCTGACATCACCGCCATCCAAGAAATGCGATGGACGGGGCAAGGAAAAGTAAGCGTTAAGCCTTGCGACGTCTACTACAGTTGCCACGTAAAGGAGCGCAAATTCGGTGTTGGATTCGTGGTAGGAGAGAGACTCCGTCGCCGAGTACTGGCGTTCACCCCGGTGGCCGAACGTCTAGCCACAATCCGCATCAAAGCTAGATTCTTCAACATCTCGCTCATCTGCGCCCATGCCCCGACGGAAGAGAAGGATGAGGCGTCCAAGGATCTCTACTATGAGCGCTTGGAACGTACATCTCAGCGCTGTCCCCGACACGATGTCAAAATCGTGCTTGGCGATTTTAATGCCAAGGTGGGCAAGGAAGGGATCTTTGGCGCCACTGTCGGAAAATTCAGCCTCCACGACGAAACGTCCGATAACGGACTGAGGCTGATCGACTTCGCCGGGGCTCGAAATATGGTAATATGTAGTACTAGGTTCCAGCATAAGAACATCCACCAAGCTACATGGCTGTCTCCAGATCGAAAAACGAGAAACCAAATCGATCATGTTGTGATAGACGGAAGGCATGTTTCAAGCGTTTTGGACGTACGTACACTCCGAGGGCCAAACATCGACTCGGACCACTATCTTGTTGTAGCCAAGATACGCACCCGCCTCTGTGCAGCAAAAAATGTGCGCCCAACAATGCAAGGAAAGCTTAACGTCGAAAAGCTGCAATCACAACAGACGGCCAATTTATTCGCTACTCGACTCACACACCTGCTCTCTGAGAGCACTCTTCAACGATCCGACATACGCGAGCAGTGGAACCACATTTCCCGATCATTAAGTACCGCCGCCGAAGAAGTAGTTGGATTTCAGCGAGCCCGAAAGAACAACTGGTACGATGAGGAATGTCAAGAAGCCGCAGAGAAAAAAGATGCCGCCTACAGGGCCACGCTGCGATCGGGCGCAACGCGAGCCATGTGGGACCGTTATAGGGAACTGAAGAAGGAAGCGAGACGTATTTGCCGCAATAAGAAGAGAGAGGCCGAAATACGTGAGTGCGAAGAGCTTGAGATGCTGGCCGACAGGAAGAACGCCCGAAAATTCTACCAGAGGGTTAGGCGACTTACGGAAGGTTTCAAGACCGGGGCGAACTCCTGTAAGAACAACAATGGCGACCTAGTGACCGATGTCCAGAATATACTTAAATTGTGGAGGGAACACTTTTATAACCTACTGAATGGTAGCAGCGCTGAAAGTAGTGAAGAAGACGAACCCGAGTCCCCAGTCGATGATGATGGAGTAGCTGTCCGACCGCCTGACTATGACGAGGTACGAATAGCGATTACGCGGCTGAAAAACAACAAAGCTGCTGGAGCTGACGGCCTGCCAGCCGAGCTATTCAAGTACGGCGGCGAGGAGCTGATGAGGTGCATGCATCAGCTCGTATGCAGAATATGGTCAGATGAACGCATGCCCGACGACTGGAATTTAAGTGTGCTCTGCCCAATCCACAAGAAAGGCGACCCCGCCATACGCGCCAACTACCGCGGAATCAGCCTTCTAAGCATAGGTTACAAGGTCTTATCGAGCGTATTGTGCGAAAGACTGCAGCCCACCGTCCACGAGGTGATTGGACCTTATCAGTGTGGCTTTAGGCCTGGAAAATCCACCATAGATCAGGTATTCACAATACACCAAATCTTGGAAAAGACCCGCGAGAATAGGATCGACACACACCATCTATTTGTCGATTTCAAAGCCGCTTTCGACAGCACGAAGAGAAGTTGCCTTTATGCCGCGATGTCTGTATTTGGTATCCCCGCGAAACTAATACGGCTGTGTAAAATGACGTTGAGCAATACCACCAGCTCCGTCAGAATAGGGAAAGGACCTCTCCGAGCCGTTTGATACCAAACGAGGTTTCAGACAAGGGGCCTTCCTTTCGTGTGATTTCTTTAATCTGATGTTGGAGAAGATAATAAGAGCCGCAGAACTGAACCGCTCAGGCACAATACTTTATAAGAGCGTACAATTGCTGGCGTATGCCGACGATATCGATATTATCGGTAAAAACAAGGGCTGCGTCTGTTCTGCCTTCTCGGGATTGGATAGAGAAGCAAAGCGAATGGGTCTGGTGGTGAACGAGGACAAAGCGAAGTATCTCCTGTCATCACACAAACCGTCAGAGCATACGCGTCTTGGCACCCACGTCACTGTTGACAGTTACAAGTTTGAAAAAGTAGACGACTTCGTTTATTTGGGAACCAGCATTAACACCAATAACAATGTCAGCCTTGAAATCCAACGGAGAATCACTCTTGCCAACAAGTGCTACTTTGGGCTGAGTAGGCAATTGAGAAGTAAAGTCCTCTCTCGTCGTACAAAGATCACACTCTATAAGTCACTCATCATGCCTGTGCTGGTGTATGGCGCGGAAGCATGGACAATGAAAGCATCTGATGAGGCGGCTCTTGGAGTTTTCGAGAGAAAGATTCTGCGGAAGATTTACGGACCTTTACGCGTTGGTGATGGCGAATATCGCAGACGATTTAACGATGAGCTGTATGAGCTTTACAACGATATAGACATAGTGCAGCGAATTAAAATTCAGCGGCTCCGCTGGCTTGGCCATGTCGTTCGAATGGACAGAAACGCTCATGCTCTGAAAATATTAAACGCGGGCTGCGATGCTGGTAGCAGAGGAAGAGAGGAAGGCCTCCTCTGCGTTGGAAAGACCAGGTGGAGAAGGACTTGGCTTCACTTGGCATTTCCAATTGGCGTCAGTTAGCACAGAAGAGAAATGACTGGCGTGCTGTTTTGGACTCGGCCAAAATCGCTTAGGCGGTTACAGCGCCAATTAAGAAGAAGAAGATTACTGCTAATGTAAACATTTTGCATATGCATATGAATGCACAACCTAATTTGGTAGCGACGCTGATATATTTATATTTTTAATAAGCATTTCTTACTTAGTTGCTTTGCTGTTTGTCTACATAGAAAAAAACATGTTAATTCAACGAACGACTGTATGTACATATGTGAGTATGTAAGTAAATAATTTATACTTTTTTCAACACTTTACGAATCTTTTTTATAGCTAAGAAGAAATCAGGCAAGTTTAAAGTAAATCCAAAAGTTTCCACATTTTCAGCAAATTTACATTATTTTCTTTTAAATATAAATATGGAGTATCTTGATAAGATGAACGCTCTTGGCCAAAGCAATCGAGTTAGGGTTCTCTGGATTCCGAGATACTTTTATATTAAAGGCAATGAGATGGCGAAAAAACCTGCAGAGAAAGGAGCATCTTCCACTTTCATCGGCCCACCCAGGTCAGGCAAGAGGATGAAGCTCAAAGAAATCGCTACTAGGACAATCTACCAGGTCTAGAACATTTCTAAATCATTTCTAGGAACATAGTATAACCTAAAATGAAGAGCTTACAAATTAATATAGGCATTCTTACAGGGCACTGCAGGCTGAACTATCACCTGACTAAACTAGGTACTAACTCGCAGTAGCGATGCAGATTTTATAAGACGGATATTGAAACTGTACGGCGCGGAAAAGAAACTTGATACCAAAATACAATAATACAAAAATTTCTCTCGAATACAGAATTAATATACACACTATAAACATTTGCTGCTCAGTTACTCAGTCGCAAATTGAAAATAATGTGGTCAAAAGTATTAGCATTAATGAGAAAGTCATTTCATTTCAGAGTTTTCCCTTGAATCTGAAAAATCGAAGTCCATATGCTAGCCAACGACTCTTGGATGGAATACACAATTTTACAGACAAAAAAATTAATATGTTCGCGATATGATGGGCAAAATATAGTAAAACTGCGTATTTAGTTTTTCTCTCTGACGTCGGAGCTTTTGTTCAAAAGATTTTGAAATTTCAAAGATATTATAAATTCAAAAAATTATTTAAAAACTTCAGTGCAAGGTAGACTAACCGCATGGTACAATAATTAATAATAATTAAAGGTATTGTCCTCCCAGAGAGCGCATATTCCGATCTGCCTAATTTGCAAAAGCCGAAAAAAAACATTTGCTTGTAAATAAATTCAAAACTTGTATGACTCACTTCACTTCAAAGGCTTTTTTTTCTTTTGAAAAATTATAAAAATTAAATTGAGCGAAAACAAAAGGCAAAGCCAAATAAAAGTAGAAGAATCAACATTGAATTGCATCAAAATGAAAATAAGGGAGTACGAATTTCGATGTGAAGCAAAACTCTCTGGGCAGACAATACCTGTAATTATTGTACCATGGATTAACCGCCCAATTCTGTGTTTTCTTGATAAATTATTTTTAAAGAAATTTTATCAAGATTTTTATCAAGTAAAAGCTCCCATAGCATTCTGTGTCAGTATTTGTAAAATAAAAAGCTCTACGATTTCCACGTGAGGGGAACTGATTTCATTGTCACATACGAAAAATATGAAGCAAAAAAAGCTTTTAACTGCCGTAGCCGCGTAGGTAGAGATGTCGGCTATAAAGTCTGTGTGACGCAGGTTCAAATTCGGGCATATTCAGTATTAAAATGATAGAAAGAAATTTTTTAATATACAAAATTTATAATTTT